TCCAAAGGTTTCCTTATTCTCCTAAAGAACTTCCCAGAGAGGATCATCAAGAACCCACACTGTACTCCTTTCAGTGCCAGGTGAAGACCTTCTTACTTTCGGCAGGAGTGATAGTCTTTCAGTCTTTGCTCTTTAAACCTACTACAGTATTTTAAACCTTTGTACCCTGCTAAGTTGTTATTTATGTTTTCAATTGTGAACTGCCCAGAGAATTTTGGTTATTGAGCAGTCTAGAAATGTAATCAATCAATCAATTCAATCACTGCCTTGATGTAGTGGTCCCTTGACATGGTACCACTGATGCCCCTCAGGTGTTGACCTCAGGTGTTGACCTGCCTGACATGGCCACCGGTTCCGCGTCCACTGGTTCTGGGTTGCCACCATCAGTCAGTCTCTCTAGATATGCTTCTGCTGTGGGTGGTGCTTTTGGATGGGAACAAAGTTGATGCTCAGCTCCCATCGGCAGAGGGTTGCCACTGTCTTGTTAGTATTTCACATTGTTGGAGCTGCTGGGATAACAGCGCCCTGGCAGATTCACCACAGCTGCCTACCCTGGGAAGGCAGTCTGGCCCAATGCTTCAATCTGGTTCTGGCAGCCACTTGGAATTGTCCATAATGACCCAGTGTGGCAGCATTTTGGGTCACTGAGGCAAGTGAGGATGCTCAGTCACTGCTTGTGCCTGCCAATAAGGCCTTTTAGGCTGTACTGACAAATTAAACAGCTTCCCAGAGGGCTTGTTGCCCCAGATTGTGTAAACCTTGAGCTACTATCTTAGGCTCCCAGTATCCAATTCCAGGATTTTAAGCCTAGTGTTGGCTCAGTTCTAATTTGAAAAATGTCACCTTCTAGGAAGCCATGTCCTTGGGATGGACACTGAAGGTATGGTGGGCTCATGATGGCACTGACATTGCTAGGCAGGGGCCCAATAGTTGTTTCAGTGGGATGAACATCAATGCCAATCAGGCCTGCTGGAGTGTGTGGCCTTGGGATTTGTTGCTGTAGGGTGGGTGCCACCGCCAGACCTGCTTAAATGTCTGGAATCTCCTCCGAGAATTCCTCTGTGCAATGACCAGTCTTATTTTCTTCACTCTCCCCCTCAAAACGCACACATTTGAGGAAGCTTTTAGAGCATCACTGAAACGAAGGCTGGAGCTCTGCCACCAGCACTGGTGTTGGAAATCCATTCTCCTGTATGGCCCCAATCCTGCGGACACTGTCCTAGGAAACAGTGGATTACAATGTAAATATAATCACCATGTTGTCCAAGGTAGGCTGCTTTCTCAGACCTTCAAAAGGTATGTGGAAGTTTCCTCAGCTTCTTTAGTGGAAAACTTATATTGGAGTAGGGAACAGAAACCAGTTTAATAAGAGTTTGATTCCCTTGTAGCCATTTTTAATCAAGCCCCATCCCATTTTGATTAAATTGGCACGACTGAGAGGTAACTCTCAAGGCAGACCTTTTCCACTGTAAATCTTATGTGAGCCACTCCCCCCCACAAATTGTAAAAATGCATTTTACTAAACATACAAACCATGAAAAAGTCATGGGGGTTGTAGCTGGCACTTGTGGGGTTCCAGTTCCCTTGGTCTCTTGCAGAACATTAATTCTGAGAAGCCGAAACGATTCAAAATGTCTCCCCTGTGGTTTTTGCTTAGATATTGGGCAGAAAATGAACATAGGTTACATTCAGCTACAAGCACTACTTAAATAATTAAATTTCCTTTCATAAACAATGGCTTCAATAATGGTAGCAATATTTACAGTACTGAAAAAAAGTTTCTTAAACCCAGCACTTAGGAAAAGACTTCTAAGCACCTTGCAAACCCATAAACACCACGGGGTTCCCCCAACTCCTGATTTTGCATTTTGGTGTTCATTTGGTGTTCATTTCCTTCAAATGAAATATGCAGGGTGAATTATTGGCCCAATATAGTCAGGGCCTTGGAACTGAATCCCCCCTGTTTCATCCTTAAGTGAATGTAGTTCTTGTAAGATGTGCCAGAATAACAAATGGTATACAATTCCACTGTCAGTTCCATCCAGCCTAAATTATAGGCAGTCTGCTTATGTTGCCGCAACACGAAGTGGTTGCAGTTCTGCTCACCTTTGCCTAGGAGTAAGACCCATGTAAATCCATGGAATTTACTTCTGAGCCCAGCTGCAGAGGACTACAGTGTGTGGCCATTTTCAAAAGTGAAAATTCATGTAGGATTTTGAATTCCCCATGCTTCTGCTTCAAATGACCTTGATAAAATCAACCTAACTCATAATCAACATAGTAATACCAATAAAATAAATGCTTTGAAAACCTAATCTAAACCCAATATAATACAAGAAGTGTTCATTCGCAAGATCTATTCTGCCCAGTCTAGCTTCAGCAAAGGCCCTGATACCTTGGAAATTAAGTATCTGAGGACCTGGTGCCAAACAGATGACAATGTCAGTGCCAGGTGTGCTTCCTTGGAGAGAAGATAGCAGCATCGGGGTTATCACACAAAAGGCCCTAGACTCTAGACAGTCTCCTCTTTTTTAAATGGCTTCTCCTGTTTTCTGTCCTGTGTTAACAGGGTTCACAAGTGATGCATACTAGAGGTTATCCATAAAGATGTCATACCTCAAGGGGAAAACAATGTTCTGATGGCAGAGGAAGCTAGTTTTATTTAAGTGAGGCATCTGTGTTAAGAAAGCAATGCATTTATGTCACATAGCAAACTGCACTTGGCACTCATGTGAGTTGGTTTGTTTATTTGCTTTTTTAAGTATGTGGAATGGTGTCTGTTATTTTAATAGAAAATCTCTTTCTGGGTGTATATAACTCTTTAGGCCTGGCAGAAGTCTCACTTTCTGTCCGGGTTGTAGGTAGGAATATACAGATTTTGATTGTGTTTTACAAATAATGCAGTTTTTTCAGACTTGTACAAGAATTTTAAACTACTACACCCAGAAAGAATTTGCACTAGAACACACTAGTGTTAGTGTGCATTAGTACCAGTGTAAATTTGCACATATCCCCCAGTTTTAAAAGGTCTCAAATTCCACCATACAACTTAGAGAAAGGCAGTCCCTCCACAGGATGGATTCATAGAAATCTGAACTTACTTGACTCTGTGGTGGACTTCTCCATAATCCGTGGCTGCAGGCTCTATGGTAGCGCTTACGATTTTGACTTATGTGGCAGAAATCCAAGTTCAAATATCTAGCTGGCCAAAAGCAAATTGGAATAACCCCTGGAAAATCATTGGCTGCATTTAGATGCCTTTGGACCTTCTGCATTCTTGATTACAGGAACTGGAATTGTGACATGGATGATCTCTGTTGAAGTGCAACCTTGCGGGATTAGGAAAATGCAATGCAAGTGAGCCAAATATTTCCATACGTCCCCATTAAGTTAAATGGAAGAGACTGGTGTCAGCCATAGTGCTCGATGTCCGGTGACTGCATGCTGTCCAAGCTTCTTTTAAAGAAGTAGAACCCTGCTTGAATCCTGATGCTTAGGCCAGGCCCATTGAAATCATGGGGACTTAAGCTAGCTCTGGCTAAACTGGGCTGAATCATGCCAAAGCTTCTAGCAGATGGAGGTGTCCCCCCATTACCTGCAAAAGATAAGTTGGGCAGCCTCCTCTTCATGGCCACACCCATGGCCATGTGATGACCTTCCTGCCTTTGTGATCCTCCCCTGCCTGCCCGCCCGCCCGCCCCCCAATTCTGAAAGGTTGAAACTCTTTCCCTAAAGGTTGACTTATTGGCAGTAAAAGCTTTAATGTGGCCATCTATTCTGTCTTTGCTCGTTTAGTCTCATTTTGCGTCACCCGCTTTGCCTTCAGCCCCACCCACCCCTGGGAGCAGCCCCTGAGAGTCTCTTCAAAATAGGACCCGGCCCTCGGGCTGAACCAGATTCCCCAGCGCTGCTCTAATGATTAGATGGAGGCGTTTGAGTGGAGCTCTGCTGCTGCAGAATGGGGGAGGAAGCTGTTTTGCTTACCTTGCAACCTCCCGTGGCCCCCAATTTGCTCTGGAGAATTGGGGACACTCCCGAATGGGGGTGAGGTGGTGCTGGCGGGTGGAGGAGGAGAAAGATAGCCTCCCTGCCTTCTGCCAGCGGGGTTTCCCAACTCTGCTCCGAGACGCTCTCGACACAGACCATTTGAAGCAGATTTCAGTCAGTCTGCTCTGAGCAAGGCGTGATTCAAGTCCATGAACTTAGAGTGGAAAAAGCTGTGAGAACCTTGCTGCCTCCTGGTAGTTTCCTTTGACAGAATGACAGCAGCAGGATTGAGCTTAGAGTTGCTACCACTCTCCAGGGATGTTTGTGTAAGCTGGTGGTCCAGGTGTCTGTTTGTATAAAGAAGGGAGAGGCACCGTAGGAATTCACAGTGAATGGCACTTTATTTAAATAAATCAGGGCTCTTCTTCAGGCCACTCCAAAATGCCTCCTGTTCCCACTGAAATGCATTCAAAACAGAGGCCTTCTCTCCTTCTCCCACTCAGGTATTTTTGTTTTTTTGTTTGCTCGTGCTGATGAGGCTTACTTCTAAGTAGACCTGTACAGGTTGGAACCATAACATGGACTCCTATCAGCAAGAGGTTTTTGATCCATCAGAGCTTTTCCAGTGGCTAAATGGGAAGTGGGGATGTTCATGTGTTCCCCCTTTCTGCCAGTGAGAACATTCCAAGTGGAGCTCAGCTCATGGATGCTTACATCACCCTCCAGCCCCATCAAAGCTCTGGCTCCAACCCAGCACAATGCCCTGGAATGGCCTTAGGGTGCCTTCTCAAGACAGGCAAATGTCCTGTTCCTCATGTTAGCTGGCTAATACTGAGAGCTGCAGCACTTTTTCCTGGCAGCCCAGCCCTATCTTAGAAAGCTGATGTGTCACTTCTGAAACCAACTGCCTCTTAGCAACGTTTTTTTTTTTAAATCCATGTGTTTTGTATTTTTCCCTTTCTTTCTGTGCAATAATGATTGTTCTTCCTGTTTCTCCTCCTCCTCTCTTTCAGGCACCCAGCGGTCTTCCAACTGTTGGAAGCTTTGTTTCTGCACCAACAATGGCGCCTTACCCCACAGCAGCCCAGGTGTCCCCTTACATGGCCTACAGTGCTGCTCCATCTGGTTACGCAGCGAGTCACGGCTGGCAGCATGCTGGGGGCACCCCACTTTCGCCCCACCACTGTGATATCCCTGCATCACTGGCTTTCAAGGGCATGCAGACAGCCAGAGAAGGTAGTCACTCCATCACGGCTTCTGCACTCTGATATCGGAGAGATGGCAAAACAATTCCAGTCCAGCCACTCTCTTGTCCTCTCACTTTCTCCATCATTCCTTATGGGCTGGTGACATTTCAAATATTTTTCTCCATCACATTTTGCTCTCTGTCTCTCGGGGTTCACTAAGTGTAAATAATGTCAGAAAGTGAGAAATGTTGTGTTGCCCCTTGCACTGTTTTGCGTAAAGAAGATCTTACAACCCTGTGAGGGCTTGTTGGTAAAACCACACATATTTATTCTAGTCAACAGGACCTTCTCAAATGTGCAATTGTTTCAGATTTGTAAGAAATCAGTGGAGGAAAACACCGCAATTCTAACCAACACATGCAACCAAACAGAAGTTGTCTTCTGGATCACTTGGTCGTTCTTTTTTGAAAATACTTATTATTATTATTATTATTATTATTGTTATTATTATTAATTGTACAGGCAAGTTTTGGTATACAGATGACTTTTTATAGTAACAAATTATAGAACTGAAAGAATACACGGATCTGCTATTTATCCTGTATTTTATTTGATTACAAAGAAGGCAGTAATATGGTTTTTTTTTCTGTATGTAAATATGGACTTGGATCGTAAAGTGTGTTTCCACTACTCAGCTAATTTCTGTCTCCCCCCCCCCCGCCATTTTGTTAAGTGGTGAAACCATGTCCCTATTTCTTTCCGTGAAGCTGGCATTTGCTTTACATGGTTTGAGTTTAGACAGTTTTTGGGGCATGTTTTGTGCACAGGGTGGAAGCGCCTGGATCATCTTGACAGCATTTGATTTCAGCAGAAAGCGGAAAGTGACTCAATTCAAAAGCCAGTGGCCTGGATCTAGAGCATCCCATCTGTACATGGAAAGGCTCCTTCTCTTTGTGGACATGACTGAGATCCAATGGAGGACCCCACTAGAGGATGAAGGAGGGGAAGGGATTTTTGCCATTTCCCCAAAGCCAGCTCCCACACTGTTCCTTCCACAGGGTCCCCAAATGGGATTTTCCTCATGAGGGCTTTGGACCCAATCCTTTGATTTCAATGGCACTTCAGTGTGGGCAAGATTCTCTGTGTTAGGGCTGAATTAGTCTTCCATATGGTACCCAGTCTTCTAAAATCACAATAATATCACACTATTAGGAATGAGACATGGATAAAAAGGGCCTGAACAAAATGGAAGCTTGCAGTCAATGTGAACCTTTGTGCAGAGATTTTTTTTTTAATAAGCCAAAGTCAGAATCTACAATAACGTTCTCTTGTGCAAACATGGAAGAGACCTTGCACGCCTCCCATTTGTGCAGGAGGTGTGTGAATTATATCCCGAGTTAGCAAAACCACTGTGAAAGAAAATTGTACTGTAGTCTGTTGGCTTACCTGTGTTCAGTAACTTTAGCCCAAAACTTATGCCAACCTTTTAAAACAAAACCGAAACAAAACAAAACAAGAAAAAAGTCTTAAATCTCTGCTTTATTGAATGTAGAAAGGAAAAGGCTTTTGGTAAAGTTTACACTGTTGTACATAAACATGTTTTACTATTAGGCATATTGGTGGTGGTACTACAGATATTTATAATAACAAAATTTCATTTTTAATTTTTTTGTTTGCATTTCTGTATCCTTTATCAAGCATCATTTCATGGTCACTTGGACTCCGATTGCTCTTTTACTCTTTTCTCTTACCAGTATAATCTTTTCAAGATGGGTTCCTCCTTGGACAATAATAAAGTTGTGAATATAGTTTCGGAAAGCCTCCTCGAGCTTGCAGATGTGTGCTGAAGATTAACCATGAAAAGGAAAGATTTGAAAATTGACATATTTCCTAGCATTATAAGATATTAATATATTATGTATTTTTGTAAGTCTAGTGCAATACTGTAAAAAATACACCATTCAATACAGATTTTGAAAGACTGCTTTAATGAAATTATCTCCATTTCTTCCTAGCCATATTACACATACTGCTGGAACCGCAAGATAAGATCCTGTCTCTTTTATGAGCATTTCATGCTTTTATTTTACAATGCCAACAAAGGTAGATATCTAAGGCAGTGCAAAGAAAATAATGTGTGATGTCATACCGATACTTCCTGGGAAATTTTCCAAAACATTTTCCTGCTGCAATCATTTAGTCATGACATATGTTGAATTGAGAATATTCGTGAGATGTAATCAGCACGAGCAGACAGAGTTTCTGGGTTACAATTTTCTTTTGGCACAGAGCATCATTACAACCGATTATCCAGGAACTAAATACAAGCCTGCTTCAAGCAAATATGGATATGCAGCAGTAGTGCTTGATGTACTCCAAACGATGTGGTGCCCAATCATGGAGTCATTAAACCTGCACAAGTATGTTCAACCCCAATGGATCATGGTCTGTCAGTCATTTTGGCTGCACTCTCGACAACAGAAATGTTCTTTGGACTTGCATTCTGGTATAAGTGATTTGGGCTTCAAATCTCTGTACATTTATTTGGGAGTAATTCTTAGTGAATTCAGCGGGACTGATAGCTTTGAATACTGCTAAAATCTAAAGTATGGAGTGGGTAATATTCTTTGTGTTAGGACTGAACAAGTCTACCATATGGTACCCATTTCCAAAGGGAGTGGTCACTTTTCAACTTAATGAAGGTTCAAGTGATGACAGATAGGCCCTCTAATTGTATCTATGACATGTAGTGTCCTTTCAAGCAGCAAAAATTAGGTTAAAAGTGCCAGATAAATTGGGAGGCATCCACCACATTGCTCATTTCCATGTCTAGTTGCTCCCTTCTGAGGATTTCCACCTCAGACTCTTTAAAAATCCCAGTATTATCTGCATAGTAATGAGCCACACTTATTTTTTAATGTGTCATCAGCTTTGATAATGCTGCCGTATTTAATAAAAAACCTCTAAGGTAGTGCACAGCAATTCAAATCAACAAAACCCTGAAACAACACAAGAGCATTAAAACAGGAAAACAGCTGTATAACTTAAAAGGATGCATTAAAAAGGCATGTCTTCATTTTCTAAAAAGCAAAAGAATAGGAGCCAACTGAGATTCCTGAGGGAGTGCATTCAACAGCTTGGGGACAACATAGGGAAGGTCCTTTCATGCAGGACATTGTGGCCATATTGCCCTCAAATGGTTATTATCTCCAGCAGATCTTAGCATCTAGGCTGGCGATAACAGTGAGATGGACGATGACTTAGATTGTCCTAAGCTGTTTAGGGCTTTAAAGTCTGTGACTAACCTCTTAAATTGAGCCCAGAAAGCCATTCACAGCCAGTGCTGGATTTGCAGGACAGGTGTAATACGGTCCGAATACCATGAGCAGGTTAGCTGCCACATTTTGCACCAGATGTATTGCAGTAGTCTAAATAAGATATAGCAAAGGCATGGATAAATGTTCCAGGTCAGACAGACTGAGGAAGGTTCACACCTGGTACACCAAATGTGTTGTGCAAAGCACTTCTTGTCACTGCCACCACTTGAAGATGCAGGGACTGTTTAAGATCAAGGAACAACCCCAACCTATGAACCTGATCCTGCAGGTTCTACAGTGGTGACTATATGCTCAGCTATAAACATTCAAGTATTCTATATGCTGATGAACCATTAAACAGGTTACATACAGAATGCCTCCAGTTCAGTCCAGGCCTGGAAAAGCTCTTGCTTGAAAGCTTAGAAAACATCCACAAGTCACTGTCAACCTTGGTAGATCAATGGTTTGACTCATTCTAAGCAGTCTCACATGTACCTAATGGATGTTTATCACTTTATAAAGTCCTAGATGAAAATGAGATTTAATATTTTAATTCATGGTGGAGGCTTGAGAGGTTTATCCGTATCTAGTGATCACAATGTTTTTTTTTTTTTAATCTAGCAATATAGGAAGTAGCCTTAGACCATGTCAGAGTGTGTGTCCATCTAGCCTAGCATTTTGTACTCTGATTGGTGTCAGTCCTCCAGGATCCAAAAATGGCCTTTTCAAAAATATCTTTGGCTAAGGGCACAATCCTATCAGGATGACCATCAGCCCCTAAACTTGGAGGCTTAAAGGCATCCAGTGCAAAGTGGAGGGTGTCCTCCCTGTCTGCATTTTGGTTAAACAGGCCAATCTAGTCCGATTATCTTATAGAGGGCCATGAAGGGGGCTTGGTGAAGCATCAGAATAGCTGGTCTCTTGGCCTGTACGATCTCCTCTCCCTGAAATGCCACCTTTCTCTGCTCCCCAAGTTTTTATTCCAGGTCTCGGTAAGTAGCCAGTGGGGAACTTTCTGCATCAGCTGTGAGGTAGCAGGTGGATGTCTCAGTGCCGATTCATAGTTCTATGGTCAGAGTGTTGTCTTTGATCTTAAAACTCTCTCAGGACTGTAGGATTGCTCCCTTCACGCTCCCTTTAAAAAGTACAGATGCCAGGGATTGACCCTTGGAGCCTTCACATGCCAAACACATGCTCTGCATGATGGCTCCCTCATGACTGAAAACATGCACTCATACAGCCTGGAGTTCTGATCCGTGTAGTGGAAGAGTTAGCATGAATCTTAGCCAGGGGGCTACATGATCTGGACCGACAGTGGGATCAGTGGCCCTCTCGACTTGTTGGATTGCAGTGCACATCAGCCCTAGACAGCCTAGTCAACAGTGAGCGATGAGAATTGCAGGCATTGGAGGCCATTGTCTCCCAATAAAAAAGCAAAAGTATCTCCACTGCAAGTGCAAGGTGACATGTGATGCTGTTCTTTAGCAAAATTGCTACATTGATTGACTGTTTAGTTTTGATACTGTTTTGTAAAAGTAGAAATGTAATGAAAAGTTGGGGTTACACAATGGGCAATCAAAATTTTAACTGGTTGGTCGTGAAGTCATGTCCGACCCATCGTGACCCCATGGACAACATTCCTCCAGGCCCTCCTGTCCTCCACCATCCTCCGGAGTCCACTTAAGCTCACACGAACTGCTTCAGTGACTCCATCTAGCCACCTCATCCTCTGCTGTTCCCTTCTTCTTTTGCCATCTACTATTC